CCCACGGAGGGGCTGGTGAGTTCAACCACCGACCTTTTGGTTAGCAGTCCAGCACTTAACCACTGCACTACCAGGGCTCCTTATCTGGAGTCTTAGCCGCCTACAAATAAACTATCCAGTTTAAGAGAAATTGCTACATAACTTAAGTCCTATGAACTCGGAAGAAAGCTCTGTCACGACAAATCAGGATAGAGCATTGAAGGGCAAACGGGGTAAGAAAGATGGAGGTGAAAAAGATCCCTTCAGGCTTAAAGTGAACTCCAGGGCACAGCTCAGGGACTGGGAGAAGGGGACGCAAACTACCCTTGCTACGGCTCAAGACAAGGCTCTGAACTCCTAGCTGAGGAAAAGTGATGTCTCAAAACAAGATACACAAAACAAAGGCTACGTGATAAGGCCTCGGTATCTGCCTCCTTTCCAAGCGACGGCTCCAGCCGCCCCCCTCCCCGGCGTTCCCAGAATTTCCAGCTGGGAGTCCCACCACCCTCTCCGCTGCCCCCGCCGCAAACAAACACACAATCACCTGCCGAGGTTCGCGACACACCTCGCACACCTTATTCAAGTGTGTCGCGAACCGATGGCAAGTCCCTCTGAGGCCCTAGCCCTCCGTCCCTGTCTCCAAGGCTACGGTCCCCTCCCCTCAAAAGCAAGGCTCCGTTGCCACAGTCATCCACTCGCCGCCAATTTTGGACTCCAGCCCCAGTCCGTCTCCGGCCTCAGTCCGCCCCCGCCGAGGCCTTCTTCACTTACCAGGTCTCCGCCCCCCATGACGGTGGAGACGTTTCCTCACAACGCGGAACCGGAAGAATCAGGAACGATCGCGAGGAAACGTAGAGAATAATTCAGATGCGACCTCCCCGAGCCTGGTCCCGGAGCCCACCGGCTGCTACTTTCACCGACCGATCTAGAGACCACTTCCGGGGGCGCGTCATATTGCTGCGTCTGCGTCGCCTAACAATGGCGTTTAGTACTCTCCGTCGCTCCATGTGACAGTGACGTCACGTGTAGTTTCCGCAGAGTTTGAGGCCCCGATGTTGCTTCCTTTGTGGTCACATTTTGGCTGCCTGGCATCTGTACCTCAGCTGATCTCCTCAACTGTCAGTTTAAACGCCACAGCTCTGTTCAGTTAGAGATGCGATGGGGCTTTCCCTGCGGTTCTTTTGCCATGACAGTGCACCATGGCGTCCTTCTCGAAGCTCGGCTCAGCATTTCCGGGGCTATACTCCAGTGTGCATCAACCCAGGACACCTCACCCCTATAATCCTCCACATTCCCACACCCCAGTTCTCCAAAGCGGCTTTTCAAGCCAGCGCTCTGCTTAAACCTCGACCCACAGTCAACCCCTTACTTCAGGCCTACTTTACAAAAATAAATGGAAGCCATCAAGCCGAACTTCATCAGCTTCCGTTCACCAAACCTGGAGAATCTGCCAGTGCCCCCATTTTCCTTTTGGTTACAGTGGAAGAGGCATCCCTCCCAAGGCCCGAAAGCTCATCTGTGCTCTAGATCCCATCCCTCACAATCTGGGAGACCTCCCTATTGCTCCATTCCTCCCTCCTGTATCTTCAGTCTTCATATTAGCTCTTTGTCATCAGCATTTTAAATATGCTCAATTTATCCTAATCCTTTAAAAAAAAAAAAAAAAAAACTCATTTCTCCGTTCCCACTCCTCCCCTCCTGCCCTGTCCTCTCCTTCTTAACCAAACTTAACCAAGCCAAGCCATATTATCTCCACCCAGGCTTTGTCTTCCGTTTAACCTCATTGATTCTCCCTATGATCTTCAGTAATCCCTTGTATTTAAATCCAGATGGACATATTTCATCTGCATCTTGCCACCCCTTAGGCTTTGATATTGATGACCACTCCCTCCTTATTGAGACACTTCTCCCTTGACTTCTGCCTACCATTCTCCTGATTTTCTATTTACCTTTCTGGACCCGTCTCAGGGGAAGCTTTTGTTGTTCATCCTGTCTCTTAGGTTCTCTTAGATCTCTCACACCATATTCCTGTTCACTTGTTTGTATCCCTGTGCGTTCCATAATGGTAGAGACCTCTGTTCACTTTTGTGTCCCTTATGTCCAGTACAGTTTCTGGCACATAGTAGTGGCTCAGTAAAGTGTTGTCAAATGATGAATGGATGCATGCATGCATCCTTAAAGGCCCTGTGTTCTAGAGTCAAAAGTTGACCAAGATGTTTCCTTGGGGCATGAACTCTTAGAAATAGTAGCAATCATTAATATAGTGTTAATAGTTATACAATAATAAAGAGGACTATGTATTGAAATGGCAATGGCTTTGATTTGAGTTTGAGTCCCAATTCTATCATGTATAAGTTAGGTGTTACAACCTCTGTGAGGACTTTTTCTCATCTGTAAAATAAGCATAATACAATCTACTGTGCAGGGTTGTTGTGGGAATTACATTAAGTAATGTTTTTCACATAGTACCTGGCATACAGTAAATGCTCAATAAATGATAACAATTCTATCTCCGATGTTATCAATACCCATAGTAACTTCTCTTCCAGGGCTCCATCCTGACGGACACCAAAGATTAGAAGGAAGTGAATGGTTCCAAAAGTCAGTGATGCCATACTTTTGTGGTGGAAAATATTTGAAGACAGGACAGAGTTATTTTTGTGTAGTTGGTGTTGTTAGGAGCCTTAGAGTTGATTTCAACTCATAGTGACCCCACATGACAGAGCAGAACTGCCCCATAGGGTTTGAAACAGATCTCCAGGTCTTTCTCCTGCAGAGCTGCTGGATAGGTTCAAATGGCCAACCTTTTGGTCAGCAGCTGAGGTCTAAACTTTGCGCCATCAGGACACTTTTTTTTTTTTTTTTTGAGTAGAGAGAACTAAAACTGTAGGAATCACATTTAATTGATTTCTTTTCACCAGTGTTTCTCAAAGTGTGACCTCAAAATGGGAAGTACCTATAATAGAATCCCCTGAGGGTCTTCTTTTACTATAGATTCCCAGGTCCTACCCCTGACCCATTGAATCAGACTTCAGAGGATGAGACTTGGGCTAGATTGCCCTGTTCCATGGCCCTTCATAGATCCTGCTTTCTGAGTTAGGTTCTCTAACCTTTCCATTAACTCTGTGAGCTCCCGTTATGCTCCCAGTAGACTCATTTTCTGCTTAAAGCGGCCAGAGTATCTGTTCAGTTTGTATAATTCTGACCATACAATAAACAACAAGGCTTGTAGAGGGGATCACACAGGGGCAAAAGCGATAAGTTAATATACTCTTCAGATCAGGCAGAACTATCCCTACTAGTTTAGGAAAGCATCGGTTATAAATTCTATCTAGAAAGGGTGGTCATGTATTTTTAAAAGATATCTCTTGAGCTACAAACAAATGCTCTTCCTCTGAGTTTTTCTTACAGCCACATGAGTATTTGCCAACTCCTGCTGGGCTGAAAGGAGCCCTTGTGGTGCAGTGATTAAGCATTCTGTTGTTAATCAAAAGGTTGGTAGTTTGAATCCACCAACCACTCCTTGGAAACCCTATGGGACAGTTCTACCTGTCCTATAGGGTCACTATGAGTTGGAATCGACGGCGGTGGGTTTGGGTTTTTGGTGCCTAGAGTGAAAACTCCCAGAGGACAGGGACACTCTTTCATCTTTTGATTCAACACAGCCTTGTTATCTACTAAGCTTTCACAAATACGTGTTGAATGAACATGTTTAATTTTATAGGCACACAACAGATTGCCAAATTATGTTCATAACCCTCAAATCTAATCTTAAATTTAGAAGTTCCTCAGGGACTTTGTCTTAGTTGAAGACCTAGGTGTGGTGGAGTGGAGATGGGCAGTCTAAGAGGCCTGCCCTAAGTGGTCATTTGGAATGTAGGAAGAACTAGTATTTCAGGACAAGAATGAGTTGAAAGTTCCTTGTTTTCTCTAATGATGTTGTAGCTGCGGGAGAAGAGGTATTTTTTCTAAATACGGGAAAAAAGGTACCAGAAAGGGGGCACCCAGATTCAAACCAGGGACCTCTTGATCTGCAGTCAAATGCTATACCCCCAAGCCCTATTAGAGGTCTCCTGCTTGTCTATTTACAGTGACGCAATACAATCAGGTTCCACCCACACTAGAACTCTGGCAGGCTTGTGTTCTAAAGCCCCACCTTCTTTTGTATCCATCATCTGCTTTGGCTTTTCTCCTGGCCACCAATAAACTGGGTGGGGGCGCTTGAAAAGTGAAACCCTGGAAAGTGACAACCTGGAAACTAGCTGAAAAGGAAACTACCATAGCAGAGAGATTTTATTCCACCGCCCGCAGCTGCCCACAAGTACAGTATCACTGTGTCAGAATGTCTGGGCTAAAAAGCACCCCTAGATGTCATCTTGTCCATCCCCTGCCTTTTGATGAATTGAGAGTGGAAAGGAATAGGAAGATGTCCGTTATTTTGGATAGGATGATCCTATCGGGAAAATCAGGAAATCCTTCTTAGGGCAGCCAATACCAATCCCTGCAGTTGCCCTGCCTGTTCTGTTCTTGATAGAAACAGTAGCCAGTTTCTGATCTGGGGCCCTGCTGAGACCTGGGAAGTGCTTTGTTGAGGACTAAGCAGTGTTGGGAGCCCTGGTAGCACAGTGGTTAAGAGCTAGGCTGCTAACCAAGGGGTCAGCAGTTTGAATCTGCCCCACTGAGTCAGATTCTACTCAACATAATGGATTTAAGTAGTGTTGTTTCTTTTTATCACAATGGCAGGAGAGAACTGAGGCCTCTCCTTTCAAGCCTGGCAGTCCCGGCCATGCAGTGTAAGGGTGTAGGCCTGAGAAGCCATTTTTCCTCTCAGCTCATCTCCATGGGGTAGAGAAGCCGAGGATGGAGAAACTAGCTTAGTCCCCACCCACAACCTCATGGAAGAAACTGCACACTTAGAGGCACAAATAACATTTTTTTTTTAATAGAAAATGACATTTAGAGCACATCTAAACATCTCTCTTAGAAATTCAAGTTGAGGGCTGTGAAGAGAAGAGACGCTGTTAGAAGAGAGGGAATTGGGTGACCTCTCCAAAGACGGATGTGCGCTGGCGGAGGGCTGGGGTGTTCCGGCGGTAGCCAAACTGACCATTGAACCCCTTGAACTGTTTCAGATCTGCATTGTAGTAGTCATGCCCAGTCACCTGCTGGAAGGAATGCCCTTTGGGGCAGAGATAGAGACCTGAGCCTACATTCACCTCCTTTCTTGCCTTCCCAAAGGGCCAGTATGGGATGCCAACCCAACTACAGTCAGTAACTGTAGTCCTCATGCCACAGCTGAACCCTCAGTCCTCAAATATCCTAAGTCTCTTGATGGAAAAGCCAAGAGCTGGTGAGGTCGAGGAGACAGACGACTTCCTAAAAACCAAACCCTGTACCAGGAATAGTTGCAGGAGGAGGGTGAGTGGTATGTGCTGACACAGAAGTGGCCAGGAAGTTCAGGGCTTGGAGAATTTGCCTTGCTCCCAGGAGAACTAAGAAAACCTCACCCTTGCCTCTGACCCATCTGGACAAAATGGATGTAATTAATTTAGCCAAATGGTGCAAAGGAGCATGTGACTAAGCGATATGGCAGAAGGGTGGTGGAGTCGGGTTGGGAGAAGGACTCATCATGTCAAAAGAATATCTCTCAACTCTCCCTTTCTTCTTGCTGCTAAATCAGCCTGAAAAAATTAGCAGAACCCAACCTGCTCACGGAGCAACGAATGGAACACGGTCATTGAGGTTGAAAAGAGTGGAATTGGAATCCCAGCTCAGCCTTCTTAGTAAACCATGTTAACTCCCTACACTTCAGTTTCCCCAGCTGTAACATGGGGAAAGTGCGAGGGCAGAAAGCGCCTGACATAGAGTAGGTGCTCAGTAGCTAAATATTAGGGAGCACTCTGGCCATCTTCTCATGGATGGGAAGAAAAGTTGGAGGATGCAAGTCCCTGGGCCTCTTCCCCCTAGCCATGCCTCTGTGACCCAGCTGCTCTCTCTGAACCGTGGAACACACACCACTCTTCCTGGGTGGGACCATGGTGAGGCTGGAAAGTGAGGGGGCACTTGCCTGCCCCCGCCCAGTTTCTCCTGTTGAGGTATCTCTGTCCTGGTCCAAAGATGTGGAAATAATCTACTATCCAGCCGTCCCTTCCTGTACCGCCATGATCCTGAGGGTGAGAGAAAAAACACAGAAGAGGTCAGCCTCAGTGCTGAGAGGTGCACGGTGCAAACTCCCCTGGGCTTGTTGGGGGGAGGGGAAAGAGATCCCAGCCCCCCGGGAAACTCAGCTAGACAGGTTAAATATACATTTTGATTTATGTCCTACTCAAGGAGAGGCCGAGTAGCTTGGCACTTAAAGGTTCAGTCTCTGTTGCCAGACAGGCTGGGTACCAATTCCAGCTCTACCACTAACAAGCTGGGTGGCAAATTGTAATTTTCATGGGCAAATTACACAGCTTTTCTAGGTCTCAGTTTCTTCATTAATAAAATGAGGGTCGCTGTCAGACTTGAATGAGGTTGTTCAGACAAAGGACCTGGCATTGTAAATAGAGTAAACGTTATCTTTATTTAAACGAAAATGATACTTACCACAAATGGTGGTTGTGCAGATTAAAGGATGCTTATAAAATTAAACATAAAAAGTCTCAAAAGGGTGTACACCATATTATTTTAAAGTTTTTAAATGCTCAAGTTCTTCCCTTTTTTCCCAGACTCCAGCTCCTTTCTTGTGTATAAAAGTTACTGGAGTAGCATGTAGAAATTTTTGAAATGGTGTATCTTTGGCTATGTGTATTTTCACCAAAAAAAAGAAGGTTGAGAAGTTAGAGGGTTGACATGTTGTGGGGTTGTTCACCAATGTCATAAAACAATATGTGTACTACTGTTTCGTGAGAAACTATTTGTTCTGTTAGCCTTCACCTGAAGAACAGTAAAAAAAAAAAAAGTTACTGGAGTAGGCAGCAGGTACACACAAGTATGGCACACACAAATTTTATGTCCACATACATATACTGTACACAGAAACTCCCAGAACTCCAAGATTTGTTCACAGAGCAGCCCCTGTAAGACCCCATCACCTCCCCACACCATTGACATATATGTCATTGTTGTTGAGTGCTATTGAGTTGATTCCAACTCATAGTGACCCCATGTGACAGAGTAGAACTGCCCCATAGGATTTTCTTGGCTCTTATCTTTATGGAAACAGATCACCAGGTCTTTCTCCAGAGGAACGGCTGAGTGAGTTCCAACTACTAACCTTTTGGTTAGCAGCCGATCACTTAACCATTTGTACCACCAGGGCTGCTTATTGACATAAAAAAACACACAACATTGGAGGCAAAAGTGTTGGAAAAAAAAATTGGTTACCATCAGCAAATAGTCTCAGAATCTCTGATCCTGTGGAAGTACTCAACTAAGAAGTGGTCCAACATCCTGAGGGAAAACACCTGGGGGAAAACTGAGGCAGCATGAAGCTCTAGACAAGGGAGGAGGCCGAGAATATTCTTGGCAACTATCACGTCACAGGGCGGAAGGCACCTGGACTGGCACGTCAAGTCAGGTCACTTTGTCTTGCTGACTGACGTCACAAGGGTTTTTGCCTTTTTAGGGCCTCTACAGCAGGAGGTCGCCGGGAAGGGCGGGGCAGTGACGTCACAAAGAACAATGAAACCGATTGGTTTAGGAGACATGGGTTTTGAGCCTGGCTCCTTAGCCCGGCAAAAACCCAGAACAGATCTTTCCCAAATTCCGGAGTGAAAGGTGACCCTGTGAGCTCATTGAGCTCGCAGTCAACACTCGTCACCTTCCTCTTCCAGTTCCGGGGTTTCATTAGGAAAACTGAGGGGGTGAGAATGGGACAGCCTCCCTGGTGGTGAGGTCGCTGGAGTGAGATGCTCGCATCTGGTGACTGCGTTACTGGAAGTCGACCCCGCCACCGGGGCCATCCTCTACAGGCGGAGAGCAAGGTCCTCGGGCGCTCCTATACCTGTTTAGTTTTCCGCAAAACAGGTGGAACCACGTGGCTCTGGAAGTAGCGGCGGGCGTGGTAGTCCTGCTGCGCGTTGTAAGGCGGGATTGCAGACCAGAGTTTGGGCCTCGTGCGCTCATAGGTGCGGGCCATGCTGCTCACGGCCACTCCATCCAAGATGAAGCCCTTTTCCAGCCGCAGAGGACACTCACACAAGTGCGTCATCCCAACCACCGCAGCCCAGGAAGGTCTTTTGGTGGGAGTGAGGGACTTGGGTGGGGTTCCCCCAGAACCCGGGCGCATTGTTACGTGGTGTCACTCTTGCGACCCCAGCAACACAAACGGTATTATCCTCACCCCCTCTGGGTTGACCAATGGGCGACCTTTAGGTTAGAGGTGACCAGGAGACCAACTGTGCGGGAGGAGTGGGAGATTGAAGGAGGGGAGGAGAGGACTAATAAATGTGGAAAGTTTGAGTGTAATCGGCCCCAGCTCCTCAAGTTTTCCTTTAAGATGAGCAAGGTGGTGTTCTCTTTCACTTTTCCCAGCTCATTTCCCTTGAAAAGTTTGTGTTCAGAGTGGGTCAGAGTACAGACAGCACCTACTTCCAACTCATTTTACGGAGCTGGAAGTTTCAGCTAATAACGACTCCCCAAATGCAGTTAGTGGCAGTGCCGGAAACAATTCAGGTCTCCTGACTTCCAGTCAGTCCTCTTGTAGCACTTCTTCCCACTCCACAAATTTCTTCAGCTTGTATTCCTGTTAATCCTAGTAGTTTGACACATTATTTTTCTTAGGGCTAGTTCTTTGTGCAAAGCGTGGTGGTGCAAAGGGTTAACATGCTCAGCTGCCAAGGGAGAGGTTGGAGCTCATCCAAAGGTGCCCTAGGAAGAAGGGCCTGGTGATCTACTTCTGAAAAATCAGTCGTTGAAAAACGAATGGAGCACAGTTCTACTGACACATGGGGTCACCATGAGTCAGTGGTGGCATTGATCAAATTGGATGAGTCCATTTTTTTCCCAGGCCCTGGATATGCTACTCATGGTCTGGGAAGAATGTTGACAATCTCAACACAATCGGGCAGAATTACTTATTTGCGGGGTGACCATCCACCTTGGTCCACAACATGATTTATGCCTGTTGTGAAGCCATAATTCTATCCCTTTTCATTTTCAAAGGATAAATTATACAGTCATGCTACACTTGGATAACAGCAAAAAACCCTGCAGGCACTATTAACAATTTGATCATCTTCCATAAAATGGGTAAATTTACATGGCAATCACCATGTGTTAGGTCTTACAAGCACTGACTCATTTACACCCCAATTTACCCAAAGGAAATCTGTAACTGCTCATGTGTATATATACACTCCTGGCTCCTACCCACATAACTCCTTTAACTCCAGGACTGTGTCCAGGATCTGAGCCTACATTGTAATCTCTCTTAAACGCTTTTCTAACTGTAGGGCACTTGGTTACCTATCATCAGAAAGTATCTACTTTCTGTATTGTACTTTATCCAAATACCTTATTCTTTTACAGCAGAAATTAGAAGTCTCAAAAGTTCTGTAAGCTTACAAGGGGCAAGGACTTTATCTTTAAAACCAATCAAAAAGCCATGTTCACAGAAAGTTTGCGCCGAAGTACATACACCCCACTCCCCTCGACTGTCTCATTATACATTTTGCATTTAGGACGATAGTAATAAATTTACACATCAACTACGTAATTAACACTGAAGCGCCCCCTTCCAGCCCTGCTGTTTAACTACAGATATGATACTCTTCAAGGTCGCCCCTAATGTGCCATCCTACTCATATTTCCCATTGGCCAAGGCACCTCCACATTTGCTAAAATTGCTCTCTGACAGCTCAAGTTTGTCAATTCCCCACCTCTGAGTTGCTGGGAGACAGAATTTTGCCTACACGGAGGTTGGCCTGGGAGATTAGGCTCCATCTCAGGAGTCTGCAGAAGGGGGTTGGGGCTGGAGCAGAGGGGATCCTATGAGAGTGGCTGGGCACTGCCTAGTGTCAGCTGCTTCTGTAGAGCTGAGGAAAGTCTTTCCTTGGAGTGAACTTTGGAAGTGGGTGCCCATGGCAGTGGCTCTCTCAGAGATGCTTGGAAGTGTAGCAAGGGGTGGTGGGACCAAAGTGCCATGTTAAATGGGTGCCCGCAGGGTGGGTTAGGAACTTGCATTTTAAACCTCAGGGTAGCGTCTGGGGCTGTGAGGTTAGAAGTCTCCATAGCTGGGGTCGGTGCCAGTGCATGTGCCCACCTGCCCCGGCCCAGAGGGTGCCCCTTGAAATTGGTGGGGAGGTGGTGGATAAGGGAATAAAAGGTGGGGTCCTTGGGAACACGCCAGCAGAGGGGGTAAGGGCTCCAGACAGCCTTTTAAAACTGCAGTAGTTGTCCTCAGGACATACCTCTTGGATGGCAACTGCAACTTATTTTGTGGAACAACCTGGTCTTTGGAACCTAACCATATAAATGTAGGTAAGCAAGGAGTGGGTGTAGTTTCATTTTACAAAGAAGGCAAGGTTTAGGTGGTTTCAAGAGTGACATGTAGAAATGAACCGGAAGGCAAGCACTGGGAAAGAATAATTTTTAATAGGCGTACGTACTTTTACACAAATAATGCGTCCTTCTGCGTTTGTTTGCCAACCTAACAAGGTGTGTTATTTGTGTAAAATACAGTGATTTTATTTTTATAATTACACTGGAGAATCATGCAATGCTGCCAGCATTGGATGCAATCCTGGGCCACAAGTCTGCACATTCCTTTGCAACTGGTCCGGTGATGGCAGAACCTACAAAAAAGGGAGAGGGGAAGTAACAGGTAAGTCAGTGTCCTGTACCTATATACTCATAGACCAAAGAATCAAATCATCCAGTCTCAGAGACGTGAGGAATGACGTGCATGGCTTTCTTACCTTTCATCTCGCCTTTATTATTTACTATGACCCCCGCATTATCTTCAAAATAAAGGAAAACGCCGTCTTTTCTCCGGTATGACTTTCGTTGTCGTATTACCACTGCTGGATGTACTAAGAGGGGAAAAAGGACAGCAGTTATTAACCTGTCAAGTCTCAGTGCCACCACAAAAGCAGTTTACACCCTGACTAGCTCCCCAACATTCCTTCCCCTGTTTGGACAGAAATGTATGCACATTAGTTTTTCATCTTCTAAAAGCACACAGAACAGTGCAAACATCAAATCACTTCTTAACGAAAGACACTATTCACGTGTAGTCGGAAATGCCAATAGTTTCCTGAAAGTGTGAAACTGTACTCTCTTCTGTTAGGACGATTAGCAACATAACAGCAGGAAAGTTGTCAAGCACTTTCTATACTTTTACCCATCTCACCTATCAGGTGGCTACTATTATGATCAACTGGGAATGGGATTCCCAGACTCAATGAGTCCAGAGGCCAAGCTATTAACCCCTCACTAGGCAATATTCCATCCCAGTACAGTATATACCAAAAAACCCCCAAGTAGTACAGACATCTCTCAGTATCCACGGGATTCGTTCCAGGACACCCAACAGATATCAAAATCTGCAGATGCTCAAGTCCCTTATATAAAATGGCATATTTGCATATAACCTACATACATCCTCCTGTACACTAAATCACCTCTAGATTACTTATAATACCAAATACAATATAGATGCTAAATAAATAATTGTTATACTGTATTGTTTAGAGAATAATAACAAGAAAAAAAAGTCTGTACATGTTTAGTACAGATGCAACCATCATAGGCCTAACTACATACTACATGTCAGAGGCGAAGCAAACAATGCTCAAACAATGAGCGCTGGAGACTGGGGATCTGTGAAATGGTGGGAGGCTACATCAGGATATGCCTATACATCACTTTTTCCCCCCAATATTTTTGATCCACAGTTGGTTAAATCTGAGGATGGAGAACCTGCAGACAGAGGGCTGACTATATACACACTTTATCTAAAAATTACTGCTCCCAAGAACTTGCTAGAATTAAAGATACATGTATAAGGATGTACACATGGTGGTTTACTAGAGCACAAATTTGGAGCTAAACTAAATACCCTGTGGCACATGTATTATACAATGGATCCTGTGCAAACCTTTAAAATGATTATCCACATCTGTAGTTTTTTGTATGCAGGACAATCATGTTTTTGAAGAGCAAATTATGGATGGTAATGGTGACATTTATACAGCGAAGACAGTTTACAAGCTCATTTTTTTGCATAGAGTCAGGAAGAAGGACTCAACAGAATATTAACAATGATCATCTCTTGGAGGTCTAAGAGTTGGGTGTCTGAAATTCAGTACTTATGTAATCAAACAAGAATTAAGTCGTTACTAAAACGTTTACAAAGACTATTATTATTAATACGCTTAAAATTGCCTCAGGATAAAAGTTTAGAGCTATTTTGGTACAAACTGGTTACAAAATGCAGAGGGGGGATAACCTAAAGAAATATGCGTCTTCATTGAGCCATGTGTCTGTCATAAGCAACTTTTAAAACTACCTGCACTAATGTGAACAAAACACTTTTCCAGACCTTCAAAAGCAAATTGTTATAAGCTGGTTATTCCTTAAAAAAGAATGCAGTAGATTATAGCAACTGAAGGAACTTAGTTTAGACTCACATGCCTGTGTTCAAAGCCTGATTTAATACTAGCTTGGAGACCTTGAGCAAATTAATTTTTAGATGTTAAAGTTTTCCTCTTGTGAAACAGGGATAATAGTTACATCTCCACATTCAAGACCAGACACTGGAAATACAGAATTTTTATGAGGACACAAAGATCCTGGCTATTCTTGAGGCAAGTACTAAATAAGAAGTACCTACATAAGTAGACAGTCTGATGAAATTTTTAAAAATCCAAAAAACTTCAGTAAAATATATCAGAATTTATTTTAAGTGTACAATTCAGTGGCATTAAGTACGTTCACAATGTTGTGAAACCATTACCACCATCTCCAAAATGTTTTCATCACCCCAAACTCTGTACCCATTAATAACTCCCCAGCCCCATCTACCCTGCACACAGTCCCTGGTAACCTCTAATCTATTTTCTGTCTCGGAATTTGCTTACTGTAGACACACCATGTTAAAGGGAATACAACATTTGTCCTTTCGTGCCTGGTTTATTTCATTAGCATGTTTTCAAGCCTCATCCGTGTTGTAGCATATAACAGAACTTCATTCCTTTTTATGGCAAAATA